TGAGCCTCGATGCTTGCGAACTGAGCTCAAAATTCCTGATTCGTCTTCTCTTGACTCTGCAAAAACTGTATAAGGAGACCGTACATATCAGGGTTAGATTCGAGATTACCTGAAGATGCAACATTGTTGTAGGATTATCTCGGAGCTCTGTAGTTGGATGTCTGATTAGGACCCCTGGATTGAAAAGCAAAGCCGGGAGGAATCCTCTGATTCGAGTTGTCGGATACTCTGAAGTTGTTCGACGCGGGATTCTCAACACTGTTTGACTTGTATGAGAGATTGGGATGATTTTTCTACCCCGGATTGTACGTGTTCGAGTAAGGGTTGTTGGCCACATAGTTCACACCTTCGATTCTCTCATCTAGTGTGTACATACCGAGCTCCTCTTGTGTTGGCATCGAATGTTCGGTCCTAGAGGATCGAGTGGAATCTTCGAGCTTAGCATTGAGGACAGCCAATTGTTCGAGAACCATCTGTATGGTTTGATCATTGCCTTTCCTGGGCAAATCTCTAGAGTACTCATTCGGAGCGTCTTCTTCTTGGGCCATCATCTCAATATGTTCTTCTAGCTCAGCGAATGACTTGTTCTGGATGCTCCTACCGGAAGATGCCCGGATCAAGGTCTTGGTATCCATCCTGAGTCCTCGAAAGAAGGTGTTGATCAGGTAGTTCTTATCTAGCCCGTGATGAGGGCAAGACTTTTGATATCCCTTGTACCTCTTCCAAGCGTCATAAAGACTTTCCCCATGATCCTGCTTGAATGAATGAATGCCAGAAAGAGCAGCTTGGGTGCGATGAGCTGGGAAATTTTTTGACATAAACTGCACTTCCAACTGTTCCCATGTATGGATGGAATCAGGTATCAAATCATAACACCATTCCAAAGCAGCATCCAGGAGATTCCAGGGAAAAGCAATTAAGCGAAGTGTATCCTCTGTCACCCTGTTGTCTCTCTTGATAGAACGACACATCATCTTAAAGCGAGTTAAATGTGCGTTCGGGTCCTCGTTCGGACTACCCCGGAAAGCATTGCTGCCCAACATCTGAATAGTAGACGGGTTCAGCTCGAAACTAGACATGTCGATGGCCAGTAATCGAATACCAGCCAAAAGCTCAGTGTGCTTAGGCGTGTTGTACTGGGCAAAGGTTGAGTCAACATTGCCTTCGACACCATCAGGAAGAACAAAATCTCGGTCGTTCTCCATCTGTCTTTGCTGTCGTCGGAGGCGTGTGATGGTTCTTTCAAGTTCAGGATCAAGAGGTACTAGGTCTGATATCCCAGAACTCCTGGTCATGCACTAGTGAACCCTGCACACAGACGAAAAACAACAGACAAACAAAGAAAACGTGAGAAATCACTTAAGGAAAAGAAAAAACAAAAAGATCAAGACTAGATAGGATCTAATCCTGTTGCCAAAATTGTCCTCGACAATGGCGCCAAAAACTTGATGTCGCAAATCTAGGA